TAGTCCATGAGTTTCGGGACGTGTTTCCTACAGACCTTCCTGGTATGCCACCGGATAGAGATATTAATTTCTGTATTGATCTGGAGCCGGGTACTCGCCCCATTTCCATCCCCCCTTATAGGATGGCTCCCGCTGAGTTAAGAGAGTTAAAGGCCCAACTTCAAGAGTTGTTAAGCAAAGGCTTTATTAGACCAAGTGCATTTCCTTGGGGTGCTCCTGTTTTGTTTGTGAATAAGAAGGATGGAAGTTTTCGGATGTGCATAGACTACAGACAACTGAATAAGGTAAACATTAAGAACAGGTATCCTCTTCCTCGCATCTATGATTTGTTCGATCTGTTACAAGGTGCTTGTACCTTCTCAAAAATCGATTTGAGATCTGGGTATCATCAATTGAAAATACGGGCAACGGATGTGCCAAAGACTGCCTTTTGGACAAGGTATGGACATTATGAGTTCTTAGTAATGTCTTTTGGGCTTACGAATGCCCCTTCTACTTTCATGAGTTTGATGAACGGGATTTTTAAGCCATATCTGGATCTCTTTGTCATCGTATTCATTGATGATATACTGATATACTCAAAGAGCAAGAAAGAACATAAGGAGCACTTGAGAATGATATTGGAAATGTTGAGGGAGAAAAAGCTTTATGACAAATTCTCTAAGTGTGAATTTTTGCTAGATTCAGTGTCCTTCTTGGGCATGTGGTTTCTAAGGATGGAGTGATGGTGGATCCTACCAAGATTGAAGCAGTTAAGAATTGGGTAAGACCTACTAATGTTACAGAGGTAAGGAGCTTTGTTAGTTTAGCTAGCTACTGCCGTCGATTTGTCAAGGGATTTTCTTCTTTTGCTTCCCAACTGACAAACTTGACTAAGCAGAGTGTTCCATTTGTATGGTCGGACGAGTGTGAAGAAAGCTTTCAGAAGCTCAAGACTTTGTTGACTACTGCACCAATTCTTACCTTGCCAGTGGAAGGTAAGAATTTCATTGTTTATTGCGATGCATCCTATTCTAGTTTGGGTGCAGTGCTAATGCAAGAGAAAAATGTAATTGCTTATGCTTCGAGGCAATTAAAGGTGCATGAACGTAATTATCTGACCAACGATTCGGACATGGCTGTGGTAGTGTTTGCATTAAAGCAATGGAGGCACTATCTATACGGGGTTAAGTGTGAAGTCTATACGGATCATCGTAGCCTACAGTATGTCTTTACTCAGAAATATTTGAATATGAGACAGAGGAGATGGATGGAACTACTGAAGGACTATGATATCACTATCTTGTATAATCCGGGAAAAGCTAATGTTGTGGCAGATGCCTTAAGTAGAAAGGCAGGGGGCATGGGAAGTCTAGCCCACTTTCAGGTTTCTAGACGCCCATTGGCTAGAGAGGTTCAGACTCTGGCTAATGACTTTATGAGGCTAGAAGTAAATGAGAAGGGAGGATTTTTGGCTTGTGTGGAGGAAACATCTTCCATTCTTGATAAGATTAAAGGGAATCAGCTTACCGATGAGAAACTCATCTGGATCCGAGATAAGGTGTTGCGAGGAGAGGCTAAAGAAACAAAAATTGATGAGGAAGGTGTTTTGAGAATTAAGGAAAGGGTATGTGTACCCCGCGTCGATGATTTGATTCACACTATTCTTACAGAGGCTCATAGTTCAAGGTATTCTATACATCCTGGTGCAACAAAGATGTATCGTGACTTAAAGCAACATTTTTTGTGGAGTAGGATGAAGCGTGACATTGTTGATTTTGTTTCCCAATGCCCGAATTGTCAGCAGGTAAAGTATGAACACTAGAGGCCTGGAGGGACACTTCAGAGAATGTCCATTCCTGAATGGAAGTGGGAGAGAATTGCAATGGACTTCGTGGTTGGTCTTCCAAAGACAATGGGTAAGTATGACTCCATTTGGGTAATTGTTGATAGGGTAACTAAGTCTTCTCACTTCATTCCGGTTAAGGTGACTTACAATGCAGAGGAGTTCGCCAAACTCTACATTTCAGAAATTGTTCGATTGCATGGGGTTCCACTCTCCATCATATCAGATAGAGGTACGCAGTTTACTTCTATGTTTTGGAAAACATTGCATGCTGAATTAGGTACTAGGTTTGATCTTAGTACCGCATTCACCCTCAGAACGATGGTCAATCAGAGCGAACGATTGAGGTTAGGGAGGATATGCTTCATGCATGTGTGATAGAGTTTGGTGGCCATTGAGATAACTTATTACACTTAGCAGAATTCTCATACAACAATAGCTAGCACTCAAGTATTGATATGACCCCATTTGAGGCACTGTCTGGGAGGAGATGTAGGTCTCCCATTGGGTGGTTTGATGCATTTGAGGTTAGACCTTGGGGTACTGACCTTCTGAGGGAATCGTTAGATAAAGTGAAATGCATTCAAGAAAAGCTTTTAGCGGCTCAAAGTAGGCAGAAGGAATATGTAGATCGAAAGGTTAGAGACTAGGATTTTATGGGGGGTGAACAAGTATTACTGAAGGTTTCACCAATGAAAGGGGTGATGCGGTTCGGTAAGCGAGGTAAGCATAGTCCGAGGTACATTGGTCCATTTGAAGTTCTGAAGCGCGTGGGGGAGGTAGCTTATGAATTAGCCTTGCCCCCGGGACACTCAGGAGTGCACCCGGTATTTCATGTGTCTATGCTGAAAAGATACCATTGGGATGAAAACTACATCATTCGTTTGGATTCAGCTCTTCTTGATGAGAATTTGTCTTATATGGATGAGCCTGTTGCTATTTTAGATACAGAAGTCCGCAAGTTGGGGTCAAGGGAGATTGCATCCATCAAGGTTCAATGGAAGAATCGTCCAGTTGAAGAGTCCACTTGGGAGAAGGAGGCTGATATGCAAGAAAGATACCCACATCTATTTTTGGATTCAGGTACTCCTTTTTGCCCTTGTTTTTCTTCTTGTGATCGTTCGAAGACGAACGATGGGTAAATTGGTATCGATTGTAACAACCTGTTTAGTCGTTTTTGAGAAGTAGAGTTTATTCTGGTAATAACTGTCTGGGTCGACGGATCGCACGACGGACCGTCATGGGCACGACAGACCGTCGAGGGGTTCTCGTTCCAAAACACTTAGAATCTAAAAATTTGGGTACAAAGAACAACTCTCTGAACATCGCGACGACATGGCAGGACGGACCGTCGTGGGCACGACAGACCGTCACTGACCCTTTAGTGAAATTTATTCTCTGAACTTTGTGACGGAAGCAGCAGGACGGACCGTCGCAGGCACGATGAGCTGTCACAGGCTTCGTAAACCTGACTGGGTCGGATTTCTGTTAAAAGTTTTAAGGGGCATTTTGGACTATTCCTAATTTTAATTATAAAGTTAGTCGGTTAATGTTAATAATTCAATTACTTAGGGGTTAAAGGACATAACCTTGAATCAAATAGTGGGTTACTTTTTTCATCTTTTATACTTAATTATATGGTAATTAGGGTAAAAAAAGGGAGTTTGAATAAGGAAAAATCAGAAAAAGAGAAAGGGAGAACGAACAAACGAGAGAGGGATAAACCAAGAGGAAAGCAAAGCATTGGAAAAGTAGATTTCTTGTTCACGATTCTTCGGTAGAGGTAGGTTATGGTTTATGCTTTCCATAGTAAACTCTTAATAGCGAATGATATGTATGGGGTGACATTGTAAAGTCTTCTATGTTCTTAATTGTGTTCTTGCATGATGTGATTACATAATTGTGATAAAATAAGCATGAAGAGACCGTTGAATCTTGAACCTTAAAAACCTCTTTGTTAATGATGATGCCTTGATATAAAAGAAGGCTTGAAGAACTAAAATAATGAGGTTAGTGGATTGGGTGTCACGTTCCGGCACCAAGATAGTAATAGTGGATCGGGTGTCACGTTTCGGCAGCAGGATAGTAATAGTGGATCAGGTGTCACATTCCGGCACAAGGATAGTAAAAAGAATGAATCTTGAATTATGTTAATATACTCAACATAATGAACCTGTTTCCCAAATGAGTATGGTGTGGAGGCTCGAGTCCTCATAGATGTGGTTGTGTTGTGGCCAATGGTTATGATACTTGTTGTTGTCACTTGTTAAGTGTTATGGTTGATTTTACGTTATTATCTAATATATATTGCTTTCTATTCTGAGTTGGCTGCTGATACCTACTCAGTACTTGTGTTTTGTACTGACCTCTACTTGTATGTTTTCTCTTTGTTATTTGTGGAGTGCAGCAAACGTACCGTCGTCTTCAACTCAACCGCAACTCTAGCCAGTCTTCATAACGTCAGATTTTAGGGTGAGCTATTGTTCCTAGCTCGGAATGGATTCTCTCTCATTCATGTCTTGATGTCCTTGAAGTTCGGACATGGACTATCTCTTTTATTTGTTTTAGCTTCCTAGACATTGTTAGATTTTGTAATTTGAGGATAGATTGTTCTTGTGGTGATGACATCCAGATTTTGGGGATAGTAATTTATAAATTTTAGAAGTTATTTATTGATCTCTTTAAAGAGTTTTAAGTCTTCCGCATTATTTTCTGTTTATGATGGTTGAAATATTGGAGTTTAGATTGGTTGGTTCGCTCACATTATAGGATAAGTGTGGGTGCCGCTCGCCGCTCGTATGGGTCGTGACACTTTTGGGGGTAAGGGGCTGAGCAACACCCTCAGGCCTTAACATTAATAAAAGTAAAAGATACAAGGAGGGGGGCATAAACCTTACCTCCGATCCTAAGATGGTTCAGAAGTCAACTTTCCTAAAAAGGAAGTTCGATTCATCCCCTTACAATAAAAGAGAAACCAAAATACTAAGCACCTAGAAGAGAGGACTCCTCTCAATACAAAGTATCTAGGAAACATAAATAAGGGAGACTCTCCCCTTACAAAAGTAAAACGAGAATAAAGGTGTATCCTATTCAACGAGATTGTACCAAATAGCATAGTCTAAGTTAATAGGCTCCTAACCAAAAATTGTATAAAAATATACCATAACAGAGACGATCATGGAGGTTTCTTGATTCTTTTCAATTTCTTTCTCCTGAAATTAGCCATGCCAAGTTTTTCTAGAATGAAGCTTCCTCTCGCAAGAGTAGGTAATTGATCCTCAATGTAAAAGTGTTGAACAATGTCTGTGTTTTGACTATATTTGGATAGCCAATCATCCGTGTAGTTTTCCTCCCTGTAGACATGAGTAATCTTGAATCTTTCCAACTGATGCACTATTCTGTGGTTTTTCGGGATGTATGGCTGTAGGTTCCATGGGTAGTTGGTTTGATTCGAAAGCCAATGAATGACCAATTCTGAATCCACTTCCAAGTGTATTTTTCTATATCCATGTTGAATGCACCAATCTAAACCATAGCTAATTGCTTGAATTTCCGCTTGGTTGTTTGTAGCAATACCCAAAGGAATAGTAAATGCATATATCATATTACCTTGATAATCTCTTACTATTCCTCCTCCTCAAATTTTCCCGGGGTTGTTAAGGGCACTCCCATCAGTGTTGAGCTTGAGGAATGGTTGTTGAGGTTTCTCCCACGTTACTTATTTAACCATAATAGCATATTTGTAACTTGCCACCATTTCGATAAGAGAGTTCCAAATGTTAGGCCATTCGATGTATGGATGGGCTATGTTGAGGAGATGGTTGAAGTCTTTGATTATGAGGAATTTTACCCAAGCTGTGTTGGATTGCTTTGCTCCGTATTTTGCTGCGCAGCAATTTTTCCAGAGATTCCAGAGAATGATGATTGGCAGCAGCCTGGTTGCCAGCTTCTGCACTTCAGTTGCCTGCGCAAGGTTCCTCCATTTCTGCAGCACTGTGTGAATTGTGGAGTGCTCATGTTGCATCCTTGCAGCTGCAGAAAAGAACCTTCAAATATTGTTAGCAAAATGACCAGTTACAAATATATGATCTATGATGTCTTCCCCAGGGCTGTAATAGTAGGAACATTGGGCTGCCTCCCTCCCAAATTTAATAATTCTTTCGTTAGTGGGGAGCTTACAACGCAATGACCTCCACAATAAAAAGGAAATTTTAAACGGGATTAACTTATGCCAGATGTTCTTACTACAATTATTTTTCTCCTTCCTGTGACGAATGTGTTCCCAGGCTGTGGCACAGGAGAACTGCCCTTTCTCAGAAGTTTTCCAGACTGCCTCGTCCAGCATGTGTTCCTGAAACTTAATGTCAGTATTCAAAACTTTTGAAATCAGTAATGGAGGAACCCATTGTCGAGCAATGTTTGATTTCATCTTCCATTAATTAGAAAATGAGAAATAGTGGTGTTGTTTAGGCTCGTGATATGATTGCATTGAAGAGCAAGAGGACCGCCTCCTAACCAATCATCCCACCAAAATGAGCTGCTGCCAGAGTTGATTCTCCATTGAATTTGGGATTCGGCAATGGCTTTATTTTTCATCATTAAATTCCAAACCAAAGATTGCCCCGTGTGTAGTTTTTTGATACCGGATGAGCCCTTTGACAGTATTTTGTTCTCAAGAATCGACCCCATAATGTCTGCTTTCTTCTGAAAAATCCACCACTGTTTATGTTGTAATGAAACACACACATCTTCAAGACATCATATGCCAATACCTCCCTCATCCAAAGGAAGGCACATCGTATCCCAAGAGGCCCAATGATACTTTTTTTTTCCTTGTCCCAACCCCAAAAGAATCTGCCATGGCTTTCTTGATATATCGTATAGTTTTTTTTAGGATGAGAGGTAGTTGACATTGTGTGGATAGGAATGGATTGTAGAACATGTTTGATCATAGTAGCCTTCCCACAAAAACTAAGAATCCTTGATTGCCATCCCGTGATCCTTTTGGTGATCTTTGCGACTAAATCTGAATAGTAAATGATTCTTTGACCTCCAATGTAAAGGGGGCACACCAGGTAGGTAATGGGACTGTTTTTCTGAGTGAAGCCTTTGATTTCTCCAATTACATTGATGACCTCTATGGGAGCGTTCGATGGGACCATGAAATGACTGTTGTCTTTGTTTATGAGTTGATCTGAGACAGACTCATATGTGGCAAGAGTTTTCATAATCATATGTAGAGTATCTCTAGTGGTGGAAGAGAAGATAATGATATCATCCGCAAAGCTGAGATGATTAATATGTGGGCCTCTACTTTCCATTTAAAAGTTCTTGTAATGTTGTTGTTGATGAAGCATATTAAGCATCCGAGACAACACCTCTGCCCCAAAAATAAATAAGGACGGCGATAACGGATCACCTTGTTTGAGACCCCTTGTTGACATGAAATGCCTTTACCCATTAATAATAACAGAATACCAGTTGTTGCTCATTATTCTCCACACAAGGTAATAAAATTCTCATCAAAACCCATTTTTCGCAAAACCAAACAAGTATACGACCATGAAACTCTATCGTATGCCTTGGCCATATCGAGTTTGATTACCACATTGTAACCTTCATTGGGTTGTTTGATAAGATGAATGATCTCTTGAGCCAACATAATGTTTTCCGAGATACTTCTTCCCTTAACAAATCCCGACTGATTCTCAGAAATAAACTGAGGTAATATACCTGCTAATCTGAAACAAAATATCTTCGAAATAATTTTGTTGGAGAAATTACTCAAGCTGATGGGTCTGAACTCTGAAAATTTATTGGGATGATCAATTTTAGGAAGAAGAACAAGACAAGCATGTGAAAAATATTAAGGCAAAATATTTCCACAAAAGAAATGTTGCATAGCCTTTAGAACATCTTCCTTAATAATATCACAACATGATTGATAAAATTTCCCTCCAAACCCATCCGAACCTGGAGCCGAGTTAAGATTCATGGAGAAAACAACCTTTTCTAATTACTCCATATTAGGCATTTGTTGAAGAAGTTGGTTCTGCTCATCTGTAACCATCCGGGGAATACAGTTAAGAACCTCCTCACTGATTCTATCTGATTTCCCAGTGAAAATATTTTGAAAGTACATACAAGCTTCTTTGGTAATGTTCTAATCTACCTGTATCCAAGTATCCTCATATCTGCAAATTCAGTGGATAAACAACTTCCTTCTTTTTCCCCTCATCATAGAAAGAAAGTATTTGGAATAGGTATCCCCTTCTTTGAACAATTGGAGCTGAGCTTTTTGCTTTAGTATGGAAGTTTCCAACTTCATATATTTGATGTATTGAGCATTAATAAGATGAAGTCTGGCTCTGTTCTCCTCTGAATTATTTTGTATGACATTCTCTTCCGCCTTTTTAACCTGTTCTTCAAAATCTATAACCATTGAAAAGATGTTGCCATATTCACTCTTAGACCATGTATTCAAGATAGAAGCCAATTTCTTCATTTTCTGATGAAGTTTCCACATAGCATCACCACTTACTTCCTCTTGCCAAGAGCTTTGCACAATATCCTTGAAATTTTCATTTTCAGTCCAACAGTGCAAAAACATAAAATATTTTACTTTTTGGGCTATTCTCACCTCCATTTTCCATTAATAAAGGGCAATGGTCCGCGCCAACAACAGGAAGATGAGAGATAGTAGTTTGTGGCATACATTCCAACCATATATCGTTGACCATGGCTTGATCCAATCTTTTCCACACTCTTGCTTCACCGGATCTTTGATTACACCAAGTGTAATGTTGACCACTGTAGCCTATGTCCATAATACCACAAACCTCAATGATATCGGACCAAGGATTTACAAATACATAACTTGTCACTTTGCATGCAAGATACTAGGAAAAAATTGTTATAGTTAAAATTATCAAGGTATGAAACTGTGGGGAACACGTAAACCCTAGTTACTTTGATTAATTGATTAAACTCCAACATCAAAAGCTGGTAAGTGTCTCTTTCAATTTCGTTAGTTATTTTAACTCATTTAGAACTAGAAACCCCCCTTTTATTG